GTACATATATGTATGACCGAACGGAGATCCACTTGCCCCCCTTCCCGTGTATTGAAGAAGAAAGATCGCTCCCTGACTTCCTGTCAATATATTGTGTTTAAATTTCAGGAAGAGTGGTTCGGAGTTGCGAACGTTTGCGAAATTGTCCGCTTATTTTTATTACATTTCTATGTTTCTACTAAAATTCGTTCGTTTCTTTATATGATCTCGATTATCTCGAGAAAATGCGGGTGAGTATTTGCTTAGCGAAGGATCGTTGTCGCAAGCATAACATTTTTGGCATATACATAAATTACATTTTTTCTTACCAGTATGAATACCAATACGTAATTTGAGAGTTTCTTGAGGCCGATGAGGTATCGTGTGGTGCTTAACAGCATTAAGTAATTCTAACGACATTGATGCTATCTGTCCAGCATGCTGATCGCCATTTCTTATTGGAAGACCGGAAACCTGAAGGAAATATTGGAACACTGAGAAATGATTTTTTTTTCCTTATAACTAATCGGTTGATTAAAAATATTACTTACGACCATGTAAGCATCTCCAATCGTTTCTACTTTATATACTTCATATCCTCTGATTATACGGTCAAATAATGTGTATAAATCATTTAAGAAATTTACAACCTGCAAATTAGAATTATTTACTACATGAATAACATAAATTTTTATTTTATTAATTGTAAGATGATGCGTGTGAAAATTTTTACCTGAAATGGAGTGCTTTCTGCTGACATCGCTGTGAAACCAACGATATCACTGAAGTATATAGTAACCAAATCAAATGCTTCTGGTTCTACCCCAATACCATTTGTTAAACAATTTGCGACAGGCCTAAAAATAAACGACACAGTATTTTTAAAATACACACTTGTATTTTGTAATCACTATCAATATTTTTTGAACGAATACGAAGACTTACTTAGGTAACATTCTGTGAAGCAAGTCCTCAGTTTTCTTTTTTTCATCCAAGAGAAGTCCCGTACGTTCAGTGACTAGATCTTCGAGATTACTTGCATATTTTTCCATCATATTCATCATTTGGTCCATTATATTTCGATGCCACCCAGCTTTCATTTTCTTCAATCTAGTCCTTATTGTTTTGAAGTCTGGCCTAAGTTCGGGACTTTCTGCCCAACAATCCGTAATAGTGCTAACGATATAATCTGCGCAATTTGCTTTTGATTCGGAGAGTATGTTTAAGTTAGGCCTAAAAGGCGGTTCACCATCTTCTGGGAATCGTTTCACTCGGTCTATGATTTCTGTTACAAATTATTGAATAATCCATATTTTTTCGTGATCTTTGGATTAAATATCGATCAACATATATAATTGTTGTATTTATAATATATAATCCATTTATATCGTTATAATTACCTTTGGGTTCCAAATTTATATTTCCGTACGGTCCTTTGCGTCCAAGAATTTCATACAAAATAATGGCGAAAGAATAAATATCTCCTGCCTGTGTGCCTTTAATTGGAGCATGTGGGTTTCTTAATAATTCGGGGGCTTTCCAAAATAAGCCTGCAAAGAGATGATTTAGTTAAAATAATTAAAATAAGACAATTAAAATGACACAACACTTGATAGAAAGAAAGACAGAATAAAAGAGAAATATCCATACTTCGATAATACTGATGTTCACCGATGCTGTCAGATTCGGCGCAATGACGCATATTATGAAGACCGAAATCGGAGACTTGGAGTACCCAACGTGACGTCACAACACAATTGGAAGACTTTAGATTACCATGACAGACCAGTAGAGATGACTCGTGAATATACAACATACCCTGTTTTATATAGAAATTGTATTAAAAATCGTCTTATAATATAGTTTAAGGCTCCAAGTCACATTTGCACGATTAAGCACATAATAACGAAATTAGTTGCAATAAAAAATTCGTTGTCCGCACGTCACTTAATATAAAGATGAACAAGGACAAGGTTAAGATGAACAAGAATGATTGGACTTTTAATTTTTATCGGAGTTCTTAGCTGAGTACTCTCAGGAGTCTTAATTTCTTCTTTTTTTAGGGAAGAAACACTTACCTTAATGAGATCGTGAATTAACGATGCAATGAACATATCATCTAATTTTATATCTTCGTTTTCAATGATGTCCTGAAAAATGATACACGTTTACATATATTTTCTCTTTCCTCCTTTTGCTTCATTATCGAAACTTTCAAAAGCGAATTTATTTGATATGAATGTATAGCTTTTACTTATATATTGTTCTTGTACATAACACACTATACTATGAATAACAGGAGGTCACCGTGATTACGCTATGACGTACATAAAGACTTCCTTTGGCACAATAGTCGGTAATTAACAATATCCTCATCGGCTCCACGCACGCTCCGATGAAAGAGTTGAGATTACCATGTCTAATTTCACGGAGAATGCGCATCTCCTTCATAACGTCCCGTGAAATGTCTTTTTTCTTCGAGAATTTCAGCTCCTTTATCCGTACCATCACACCGTGGTAATGTCCAGTTTGCGCAAACACTTGACCGCCGCATCTCGACTCATAGGACATCGCACTAACTAAACTTAACTGTAATCGAAAGGTGTTTATTTCTTACATCACGCGTCAAGAGAGGTCGACATACGAATAAGCACTTTGCCATCTATCTCAATCATGATAACACACGTGCTATTTACCTTACTAGGGGAGGACATCATGTTATCAAGATGGGGATAACCGTGTATCTCATTCGGATCAATCTTCCAAAGCAATCCTTCTATTTCCTGTTCTATCTTCCATCTTCGATATATGCTCATTGTGATTACCGTGGCACAAAACAGCAAAACAGCCAGTGCTGCTGCGACGATAATACTACGAAGATGTGTATCGTCCTTTGGACAGTGTTCATTAAGAAAACCACAACCAGGTTCTGCCTCCGGCTTATTTTTACCGGGCCAATCCATGGCGCCTGGCAAAGACTTGTACACCTGTATCACATAAATTATGTGATTATTCAATAATAATGAGATTATTCAATAATAACACGTGAGATTTATGATTTAGTGAAATTTAAACGATATTTTTTGTCTTTTGACTGTTCTGAAAGATGTTTCTCGAACGCTACGAATAACTCACTCACTAGAGTTTCACCCTGTTGGAACTGGCCGACAGGCAGCATCTGATATTCGCAAGAGAAGTTATGGCGACGAAACGGTACTCTTTTCAGAGCAAGCACCGAGAAGTTTCCCTCCGAATCTCCATATTTATCCAACTTGATGGTCGCTCCGCTCACACCTATAAAAAAAAAAAAACGAATAAATTTTAATAAAGGCATATTTAGATATTAATCTTCAATCGCGTGTTTAAAAGAACGTGGAAAAGATCCACTTAAAAACTATTCAGCTTCGATTTAATTGCTCTCATCTTGATTTATCAACGATACGTCGAGTATTAGATCGTGCGAACCACTTGAGATTAGTTCTATCAATACAGATTACATCTGATGTTATTGTACATACTTACTTTGATATGTATGATTCTTGATAATTGTCTCGATTATAAGAGTACCATTTTTGGCGAGTTCCTCGATGGAATGATTCGGATGATCTCGTATCAACTGGTCCAAGGCTCTCGCGTATAACTTGAGAGAATCATAGAGATACGCAGCATAAATGGACACGTACTGAAACGGATATTAAGAATGTAACAACAATTACATGGTATACGGGCATTTACGGTTGATTTGGCAACTAAAAATACCTTTTCATATTTTTTCAGAAGATCGGGAATCACGAAGTTGAAGGGCTCCTTGCTACTGTACTCTCGGACCTTTTGACTGAATTTTTCATAATTCTGCGTCGGTGGTGTTGACACGACGACCATCAACGAGCGGGCTCTCTTCAGAAAATCTTTTGGCTCGAGACAATTTCTTAAAGTACCGAAGTGCTCCGGTTCTATATCAATAATAACAAAAACTTATTATTTTTATTAAAATCACAAATTAACAATTTACAATTAAATGCAGTTGCGACGAAGATTTTTAGATAGCAAATATTTAACAAATATTAATATATTTTTTATTAAAAAAAAAATATGCATGCACAATAATTCAGCTCTGAATTTACTAGGAAATTAGTTTCATTATGTTATATATGCGAGTTATAAATAGCACAATATTACGCAATCAGCTTATCGACATTCGTGTTCGTGATACAAACGTAACATTTGATAAGAATCGTCAGATTCACTCACTCCACAAATACTTCTGCGCTTCACGTTGCGAATACATCATCATATCCACGTGTATTACCATGTACTCGCCGTTGTCCAGCAACCTTTGGCCTTGCATTGAATTCATCATATCTATCAGTGACATTGGAGTACCCAGGAAGATGTAAACTGAAATAATAAACGTAAACATTTCGTGTCGAATGGAACAAAGAAAATTACAGTAAAAGTTATATAAACTGTTATATAAACAAAATATCAGGTTTTCTTTTTACTATCTCACGTGTGTAAAAATATTATATAAATCTAAAGAAATATTAAATTAATTAAGATTCATCAATATTTTATATATATATTAATAGCATGTTATATATTGATTTAAATAGAATAATAAAACGAAAAAGCGAACAGAAGTGCCATTTTTAAGTGCTTCGAAGTCAACAGGATTGGATCCCAAGAGACGATCGCCAAACTGTCAGGAGTCGGAATTTAGGACATTCAACAAATTTGATCGCGACTTTTCGTACCGCCACGATGAGAAGTTTTGGCGATCGTGTTCTCGCGAATCCGGCGCAAACATAAATAAATGTAGACTGACTGCGGGTCATATTTTTCGTCTCCTGTATAAGTTGGAACCATACGCTGACTTGGCAGCACGGCAGCCTCTCCTCGCAACACGTGTGCCGGTCCTCGACGGTCTTGTAATGGTTTACAGTGAGATTGTTCTTAGTCGCTTGTTCCTGAAGCGAACGAGCGACCGTTGCCCAGGCACGCTCGCTCACGATCGTGAATTTGTGCCATCCGTAGTGCAGCAGCAGGGCGATCACCGATTTGGTCACCTGCGTGTCCGGCGGTTCGGTCCTCGCGAAAGTCTTCACCTTCGAGGCCTTATAATCCGAGCATTTCTACAATCAGAATGTTACAAGATAAATTTTTTCGCGCTCCCCCGCCGTTGCCCGTTTCCCCCGAATTTTATTTTTAATTGACCTATTTAGCCGATTTCTCTCGGTCGGCTAATAAAGTAGTTCAATTTCAATTTCGGATTGTGATTTGGGATTTATTCTGACGTTGCTATTTGTATAATCAAATTCACATATAAACACGTTCATATTCATCCAATTTTATACATAGTTCTACATATATTGCATAATAGATATTCGAATGCTTGTGATTAGGATTTTTCAGAGTCATTGATCCTTTTCGAATGAATAAATGTAATTCTTTAAATTCAAATTATTTGAAGATACAAACTTTTTAAGATACATGAATAAGAAAAATGTCGAGTGAATTTAGAGTTAAATTTTGAATTGAATTTGAGTTTCAACGGATTCAATTTGGAATCTGAATCTGAATTCGATCATTAAAAATGAGAGTGAAAAAGTTATAGCTACGGGATATAAATTATTAAATTAAAAAAACGATTATTAAAAAAATGAAAAAAACATTAGAAATTAGGGCGTTTTTTTCTGTCCTTCAAAATATGGATCTAAATTTAAATTCAGATTCGGATCCGAATTGAGATTCGAATCATGATTCAGACATCTCAATAAGTCCAAATAGTACGGGTTTAAGTTTCCGGATCGGAACCGAATTTCAGACATTCAAATCTAAATGTTTGAATATTTAAGACCTTAAAATTCTGATTTGAATGATGCGATTTTGATTTGCAGAACCGATATAATTGAAATCAATATTAGCTTTTTCAATATATAAAATTCGAAGATCGAATAAATGAGAATATAAATTTTTCAAGAAACAAGATCACGGCGAAATAATTATTTTTTCTGACACGTAATCGATAGCCGATAATCGCTTACATCGCACATCGATTCTTACGATCCCAGTGATTTCCACCGGCAATCATAACGTGGGAGGAGATGCGCGGCGCGAGTCCGCCCTTTCCTTTGAAAGTGAACGAGCGCACGCGTTGTACGCGGAACGCGTGCGTGATGCACCACGGCGGACTGCCCCGTCCTCCGTCGGCGCAATGAAAACGAGCATAGCCGCGAACTGAGAAGAGAAAAGAGGAAAAAAATGAAGGAAAAAAAGAGGAAACGGACCGCCGTGAAGGGAAAGAAAAAGGAAGAGATATGGGACTGGAGGAGAGCAAGCAGAGCTGGGC